TTGCGTCCGAAAATGTCGGTGGCGAGGAGAGACGACACTAGACTGCCCGACTTAGCGGGAGTCAACTGCCGTCCCGCCCGACCTGTTAAGTGCGGCGGCTTTTACTGCATTGGCGGGCGCGTCATCAGCAATTTTCGGCAGGAGTGCTCGTGGACAGACGGGGCTTCATACCTGCTGACACTTACGGGCTGCAACGGAAAACGCGGTGGCTAAATCGCACTTACGAGGAAGTGGGACGCAGGCGACGAGGGAAATCGGGGCAGGTACACCTCGAATCAACTCGGCGACACTGCGTACCTGGTGTTGTTGCAAGCTGGCCGGCAGTATCGAGAGCGGTTTCTCCTGACCAGGGAATTCGTTTTCGGGGACAGCTGCTGACATCCCACGATTAAACGGTGTCCAAGGTACCGCCCGACAATTTCGGAGGGGTCGGTACAGGCTGCCGGGACACACGGGCAGAAACGGTACAACGGCTAAGCGAGGGTTGAAGAACGTCGTGGGGAGCAGATTAAAAGCCGGTGGAATCGATCTGCGGCCCTACTTCGCCCGAACCTCACCATCCCCACCAAGTCCTGGTTCTGACTCATGCAGTCAACCTACTTGGCCGAATAACGGGGGTGAACACGTGCCTACCCTGTGCTGGTTAAAGGCACCTGGATTGGTGCTCGTTCGACAGCTGTACAGAAAATACAAAAAAAAGTGGAGTTCGCGGCACTGTTCTACTCCGACAAAAGCGGGCTGGGTGAACGGCACGCGAAAAAGTCGGGGAGCTGCGAGGATAACATCGGTGCAGTTTACAGGTTTCTCCTGACCCGGGCGTCTCTTCACGAGGTGACGGCGCAGCGGCGAAGCTGAGACCGGGAAGCTGTGAAATTTTATTGGCGTGATAGGCACAGCGGGCTGCAAAACGGTTGGGCGATAGTTTCCTTTTAACTAAGGTTCCCCGACTCCGATAGTTTTTGCCTCTCCACCGGGGACGAGTTCGCGCGGGCAACAACGACGATACCTCATCCGACAAAAGCGGACGCTGGGTGAACGGCGGGAAGCGGAATTGTCGGGGGGTGAATACGAAAAAAATGACGACGGAGGGGAAGTTGTGGGTGATCCAGCAGATCACTTGAGTGAGAGGTTGAGCCCGTGCACCAATCCACCGCGAATTTCGGAGTCTATTCGGTAGACCCCCGAAAGGGTTTGATATTGTTACATGGAGGCGCGGCGAGCGGTACATTGCCAATGATACCTGGGATTCTCTAAGTGGTTTCGACGGGTGGAAGATGGGTGAACATCGGAGTACCAGGGTTACCGGCGGAAACGTCGGGGCTACACGGCGGAGAATAACTTCGGGACTGCTGCCTCAACCATGATTTTCGGGTGACTTTTCCTACAAAAAAAAAAGAGTTGAAGCTGAGGGTGTTTCTTCGCTTCTTGGAGTGCGGTTGAGCCGTTGGGGGACTTCGCCTGAAGGGTCACTTTTAAGTCGCCTGGCAAGAAACACAGCGGCGGGGATACCTAGAACCCACTGGTGTTTAAACGACACCGCGGGAAATTCTTCAGTAAAAGGGAGCGTGGGAGCGGCCGAAGTTTTCGGATTTACCTACCGGCGACGAGCGATGGGTGAAACATCTGCAAAGCGCCAGTGGGAGTTTTGCGTGGTTTTCAGTTAAAATCATCGGCGGGAGCAGCTTAGACGACGGGGTCAACGGCGTTGATGCCACTAGGTTCCGTGAGATTCGGTCTCGGAATAACCCAGGGCAGTCCCGGTTCTCGATTGAACCCACATGCTGGGGTCGGGTAGCCGACGGAAACTGCTGGTGACCGAGTGGGCGGCTATAATACGACCGAAGATTTCGGAGGAGGGCTGCACCTGCATCTGCGGATTTTCGGGGCTGTGTTCAAACGACATTTTCGAAGTTTACGCGGGACTGCACAGGTTTTACGGCGAGAAGCGGCGACAATTTCGGAGGAGAATTCGGCGTTTGGTTAAACGCGCGCGACATTTACGCAGGGCAACACCGCGGGAACTACACGGAGTTTTCAAGGGGTACGAATGACTTACGACGAACTGAAGAAGGCGGCAACAACAGTGACGGGGGGGAGCGACAGCTGTAAAATTTCATCCCTGCCCTTTAACTCTCGGCGCATTACGACAAATTTCTCGGAGAAACCATTCCAACTCTGCTACCGACAACTCGCCTTCGACCCGCCCACGACAACTGCATTCAATATCAACCACGTCAGGTGCTGCCAACTGCAACTGAAGATATCGCCTGATTTTCCGGCGATGTGAAGACAAAACAAGTCCATTTCGAGCAACATGGATTTTCCGTCGCTGTTTCTGATCTACTTCCGCTGGTTCGCCCATGAGGAATTTTGGGGCACATACACCTGGTGTCGTCATCGAGTTTCCACACCGACACGTTTTCACCTTGTCCCCTACGCTCAACGCTCGTTTTCAGTGGGACTTAACACCTGGTTCTGTTGGGTTTTACTTCGGCGCAGCTTTGAAGAGTCTGTGGACAGCTTTCTTGGAAGGGGGGAGAAAGTGCGCTGCACTGTTCTTTCCTTGGCGTTTTTCTTGGTCCTTTCTGAGTTTGTCAGGTTGCGTCAGCACGACGGACGATCGCGATCACACCGACACGATCAACGGTCCCTGATCAATCGCGTTTGAATTCGCGTCAGCAGGTTCCCTCTCTTTTCGCGTCAGTCTTCGACCGTCAGATCTACACCTGCTCGATCTACGGCCCACATTCCAACTTCTACTTCATTTTGGGTAGTTCATCTTCGACCGTCAGATCGAAATCGGACTTCATCAACGGCTTACATTCCAACCTTTTCAAAATTATTGTCAAAGGCATTTCGGCCGTCGGATTCAGCTAAGGAGGAGATCTACGGAATCCTCGCTAGTGTGGGGCCTGTTTCAGTACAGAGCTGCCTTATTTAGAAGGTGGGAGAGTGTAAGGATTTACAAATCCTTACTGAGGCACTCGTTAGCGAGGCCATCCCGAGGGTCACGCGACGAACCTGACCTTCCTATTTCGTCGCACCGAACCACTCCCGAGTCGGCCTCCGCTCCAATCGCATCCATCACCGAGCCATCTTCGCCCGACCTCCCCGACTAGCTAGGTTTTCCCCTATTTAGGCCTCGCTACTTCATTGTTTCTTGATTCTGGGATTCATATTCTCGTTATTCGATATTCTGCGCACTCTGCAAGTTCATTCATAACACTTCGCAACCCTAAGACGATTTCGTCGCCTCTTGTTTTTTTTTTTGGCTTTAAGGAGATCCCCGGAGGAAACCAACCCCCCGTAGGGAGAAGGCGCTTCGGTAAGCAGCATTATACCGGCTGTGCATTTAGTTGCTAAAACCCCCATTGAATCAGAAGGTCGTTGTTCCTGGTCCAGAGACACAAGCTGCTAGCTAGTTGGTAGCAGCACACTGACGGCCACTTTTCCTGATCGGTTATAGCTTGTACCCATTGATTCTAGCCATAGACCCAGACTTCAACGCTTCCAGAGTGATAGTTGTGCAACAATCTTATCATCGCAGCTTTCCTTAGAAGCCTCGCATACCTGCAACGCTTTTCGCACTTGCATCCGCATCGACGGGTTCCCTTTCTCTGCACATCACTGTTTCAATATCTCCCAGCGTCACCTGTTTCCGACTTAGAGCATCTCATGATTTCCTTCCTCTCAACTTCATTCACAATCCATCGCCGATCATGGTCGTGGAACTCGATTTCCTCGGCTGCTTCAACGTCACAGCTACCTTCAAGCGCGGTTCGGAGAGCATCGGATTGCGAAGAGGCCACGTCGCCGTGATCCGCATTCCAAGGAGCTGGGTTCCATCTGACGGAGGCTTGATAGATCTAACAAGCTTGGATCCGGACCTCAAATATGAGGAGAACAGTGACGATCCAGACGGCGGAGGCTGGGCGCTGGCTCTCAACTTTATCACACTGCCTGGCTGGACTCCTGCTGCTGCTGCTGCTGCTGGGTTAACGATCGCCATACATCATATCAAAAGGCTCAAGGTCCAGAAGGGTGCATGGGATGGCAAACCGTTTTTTATTGTCCTTGCCCTCTAGCGTGTTCTTGTTGTTGCTGTTTATTTTTTTAATCCAGTGCTTAAATCACATTTCTTCTATTTCCTTCTTTGGTAAGTCAGTTTCCTTTTCGCGTGATCCAGTTTTGAAACGGCTCAATACTCCTTCGCATTCTCGCATGATCCTCAGGCGAACCATTGGGTCAAACCCTCTATGATGCCCGCCCGCGTTTTCCGTGCAACATCTGTAGATCACTAATTACTTGCCCGTCTCTTGAACACCTGGTGTGAAACAGGAAGCACGAATCGACTTTTGCTGGTCGTGCGAGGAGGAAGCAGCAACATTTGAGTGAGCGTGAGCACTCTGTATGACAAATGGGAGGTTTTACAGCTGAAGAATTTCATCTCCGATGTCGATTTCGAAAGGCCCTGGATTCACAGCACATGCCATGCATGTGAACTGAAGCAGGTAAGTGTACAAACTAGTGGTTTTACTACGCGGATTCCTTGGCTGTGTGATGCGTCTGTGTGCCAACGGCCGCCATGTTGCGACACTGCAGGAAAAGATGGAGAGGGAGGCGATGCAGCGACAACACATGGAGGCGAAGGAGAAACAAATGGGCGAGCAGAAGGCGAAGCAGCAACAAATGGACGAGCAGAAGGCGAAGCAGCAACAAATGGGCGAGCAGAAGGCGAAGGAGCAACAAATGGACGAGCAGAAGGCGAAGCAGCAACAAATGGACGAGCAGAAGGCGAAGCAGCAGCAAATGGACGAGCAGAAGGCGAAGCAGCAACAAATGGACGAGCAGAAGGCGAAGCAGCAGCAAATGGACGAGCAGAAGGCGAAGCAGCAGCAAATGGACGAGCAGAAGGCGAAGCAGCAGCAAATGGACGAGCAGAAGGCGAAGCAGCAACAAATGGACGAGCAGAAGGCGAAGCAGCAACAAATGGACGACAAATGGACGAGCAGAAGGCGAAGCAGCAACAAATGGACGAGCAGAAGGCGAAGCAGCAACAAATGGACGAGCAGAAGGCGAAGCAGCAACAAATGGACGAGCAGAAGGCGAAGCAGCAACAAATGGTCGAGCAGAAGGCGAAGCAGCAGCAAATGGACGAGCAGAAGGCGAAGCAGCAGCAAATGGACGAGCAGAAGGCGAAGCAGCAGCAAATGGACGAGCAGAAGGCGAAGCAGCAGCAAATGGACGAGCAGAAGGCGAAGCAGCAGCAAATGGACGAGCAGAAGGCGAAGCAGCAGCAAATGGACGAGCAGAAGGCGAAGCAGCAGCAAATGGACGAGCAGAAGGCGAAGCGCAAGGCGACGGTGGAGATGGCTGGGAAGCAGCAGCAGGAGAAGGTGGCAGAGGAGCGTCTGAGGAAAGGGAAGAAGGTGGAACGAGAGGAGGGGGAGGGCATGGAGGGGTTGAGGGAGGAGGATAAGAAGGATAAGAAGTCGGCTGCTTCTGCTGCTACTGATGCTGCTGCTGCTGCTGCTGCTTCTGCTTCTGCAGCTGCTGCTGCTGCTTCTGCTGCGAGGGACGAGGAGATGAGTAAACTGAAGGAAGAGTTAAGGGCGAAACGGGAGGATTGCATGTATCATCATCAGCAGCAGCAACAGCAGGAGAATGACACCTTCGTGAGTTTCATTGACGATTGTGCTTGTTGTCTTGTCGCCACGACCTCCCGTCCTCTCCCCTCCTGTTCCATCCCCTCTCTCTGGCCTTTTACTCTCAATTATTTCTTAGCCTTTTCTACCTTCACCTCCCCTCCCTTCTCTCTCCCCAACCCCCACCCGAACCCTTACATCAGGGTCCCCCGCCCCCGCCCCCCCCCAAGGACGCTCCAGCGAGCGTGCTTGCATTATACAACGGTCTTCTACGGGCGTGGGTGGTACGGATGAAAGCTGCTGTCTCTGCCGCGGAGGAGGAGATCGTGCGGACTGAAGGGGAGCTGACGGAAAAGAGGAAGGCGGAGGAGTGTCAAAGAAAGGCTGAGGAGGCGAAGAGGGCGAGGGAAGAGGACGTGAGGAGGAAGGAGGAAATGGAGAGGAGGAAGGCGGAAGAGAGGAGGAAGAGGGAGGAGGAGAGTAAGAATGAGGAGGAGGAGAGGAGGAAGGAGGAAGAGAGGAGGGAGAGGGAAGAGGAGAGGAGGAAGAAGGAGGAGGAGAGGAGGAAGGAGGAGGTGAGGAGGAAGGAGGAGGAGGAGAGGAGGAAAGAGGAAGAGAGGAGAAAGAAGGAAGAGGAGAGGAGGAGGAAGGAGGAGGAGATGAGGAAGGAGGAGGAGAGGAAGGAGGAGGAGAGGAGGAAGAAGGAGGACGAGAGGAGGAAAGAGGACGAGAGGAGGAGGAAGGAGGAGGTGCGGAGGAAGGAGGAAGAGATGAGGGAGAGGGAGGAGAAGAGGAAGAAGGAGGAGGAGGAGAGGAGGAAGGAAGAGGTGAGGAGGAAGGAGGAGGAGAGGAGGATGGAAGAGGAGAGGCGGGCACAACAGAAGGCGAGGAGAGAGGAGGAGAGGAGGCGGGTGCAGGAGGAGAGGCAGAGGGCAGTGAGGGAGGAGGCAGCAGTGGAGGAGAAGATGAAGCAGCTGGAGGAAGAGTGTCGACGGCGCCACACAGGTGAGAGCGAGTGAATAGCGGAGCTGCTGCGCACTGTGATACTAGCTGAGCACCCGTATTGAATAGCCTGTTTTTCTCTCTTAAGTTTTGCTTCATGGCGTGCGTATTCTTACCCCTTGTGTGTGTATTGCATGTTTGTGTTTCCAAATGATGTGTGCATGGTTGCGAGAGGGGGATGGGGGGAGGTGGAGCGGGGTGGCATGCATGTATGTGTGCGTTTGCGTTTGTACGTGCATGGATGCATGCGTGTTCAGGTGTGCCAATGACCTACGAGGAATACTCCCGCCGGCTTACTCAGTTTCGGACCCAGGCACGGAGCGCAGGTGCCGCCTCTGTCCTTCTGCACTTCTGGGAGGTGGTGGTTTCAAAGAAGAGGCTAAGGGGAGAGGTAGAAGGTTGCAGCAGTGCGGGTGGTGGCGGCTAAGAAGCAACTCAGGGGCGAGGGTTGGAGCGATGTGGCTGCATCTGCTGTGCTGGCACATGGATAAGTTCGTGGCATGCTGTGGAGGAGGGGAAGGTGGTGCTCTGGAAGGTGGCTGGGTTGAGTCGGGAGGTGGTGGAGGCGAAGACGTAGCTGGGGGGGCACAGGTTGCGGCAATGCGGATGGGTGTCTACAGACGAGACATTTCAGTCAGCTCACACACAAGTGCTAAGGGAGGTGGTGGGGCTGTCTTGAGATGGTGGTGGCAAAGAAGCAGCTCAGGCGTGAGGGTTTCAGCAACCGTCACCCCTGAACTGCTTCTCTGCTGATGTAGGTGTGAGGTGGTGGTGCGTAGTGCAAGGGTTTGCGTATACTGTAGGGCAAGTTCTAGATTGTAATGTGGAGATGTTGATATTTATGTTGATAAAGCGGAGAGGCAGCAATGCAGCTCGGATATTTCTTAACGTGGGCTAGCCAGAAGCAAGTACAAGTGAATCTTCGCTATGGTACTCCGTTTTTACTTTCACTCCATTCACATCTAACAAGAAAGTTAAGAAAAGGGCATTTGGAGTTTCAGGAACCAGGAAGACCATACATGCCAATCCATATGCGCACCTCTCGTCCAATATCAGCTAGCACAGGCCCAATGCTCTCAGGATCCACATGCGTGCGCGCATGGTCCCGCACACAGCGCAAGCACGGCTTTAACTTCCAACAGTCCGACGGACTCAGCTTCGCCCACTTCCCTTCAAAACACCCGTCGTCGAACGACGCGAATTCGCGCTTCTCATTGGTCCATTGGTGGTAGTTTATGTTGAAAAGAGGTGCGATGGTGAGGTAGGGGAAGTAGCGGTACTTGTAGGGGATGAGCTCCAGGGCTGACGCCCCGGAGGGCAGGAAGATGAGGTTCGCGAGGGCCGAGCCGTGCATTCCCATGGCAAAGGCTGTGTGCCGCATCGTGTGAACCACCTGGTCGAACCTGTGGTGGGTGAGGAGAGAGGAGAATAGGGGAGAGGGTAAGGGTGAGGGCGAGGTTGAGTTGTGAGGTGTGAGGATGAGGGTGAGGGAAAGGGTGAGGATGAGGGTGCGTGGCGCCTCGTGTTCACCACTTGGTCAAACCTGCAGGGCACATGGTGGAGGGGGGTGGGAGGTAGGGGAAGTAGCGGTACTTGTAGGGGATGAGCTCCAGGGCTGACGCCCCCGAGGGCAGGAAGATGAGGTTGGCGAGGGCCGAGCCGTGCATGCCGATGGCAAAGGCCGTGTGGCGCATTGTGTGAATCACCTGGTCGAAGCTGGGGCATGGTGTTGGGTGAAGAGGGAGGGGAGGTGGGGTGAGAGTGAGGCTGAGGTTGAGGTGAGACTGGTGTCTCAGGGCAGATGGAGGGAGAGGGAAGAAAAAAATGTGCAACATAAAAACGATGCAACGGTGGCAGCAGCAAGGAGTGAGTCAGGGAGGGCATGGTCTTATGGCATTTGATGATGTGACGTCTTGAGGCGTCTCAGTTCACACATGTTTCATATGGCGAATATTTTTTCAACCACTTACGGTGTAGATTCGGAGAGTTCGATAATGTGGATGGGCATGCGAAAGTGCGCTGTGAGCAGCTGCAGCACGTCTCCCACGTTTGTGATGGTGCGACGATTGGACCGGTACAGCCATGTCACCTGCAACAGACACAGCAGATGGGAGCAGATGATTCGAAAGTCAGGATCACAATCACGCCACCTGCAACGGGTGACGACTTCATGTCAATCATTTTACACCACAATGGGTGTGACATGAAGTCATGGTGACTTCAGAAGCCACCTCAATTGAACCAATAGTGCCACGTCACCTGCAATGGATAGCAGAGGGAAGGTGAAGGTATAAAAGTCAGGATATCAGCAATCTCACTTGCAGTGAGTCTTCACACGGGAGGGGGTGAAGAAGCAGCACGTAACCGGTGTCACTAGGAATAAGAGGGGAGAGTAGATTGCTAGATGACAGAAGGAAGCATGGTCCAGTCCATGTGGCATGGCATGGCATGGCATGGGATTGCATGGCATGGCATGGGATTGCATGGCATGGCATTGGATGGCATTGGATGGCATGGACTGGCATGGCGTGGAATGGGAAAGGCATGGGATGGCACAGGATGGCATGGCATCGGATGGCATGGACTGGCATGACATGGGATGGTATGGCATGAATCGACTCGCCTGCAACGGAGAGGGCAGCTTAGACAGCTGCTCTTCTCTACGTTTCTCCTCCGCCTCCCTCCGCTGCTGCAGCCGCTGCTCTGCCTCCTCCCCATCCTCTGCCTCTTCCTCCTCCTCCCCACCAGCATCAGCACCAGTGGCAGCACCAGCAGCACCATCGGCATTACTGGTACCTTCAGCAGTGGCGCCAGTGACGGCAGCAGTGAGTCGGGCGTCCGCCCAGGCATACGCCTTCCTCCTCACATACTCTGTGGCGTTCCTGTGAAGGGGGTGTATATGACCATTGCAGCATGTGCAGGGAGGTTCGCTCACCGTGTGCGCAGTATGTGGCATGTGGAATGTGGAATGTGGAATGCGAAACACGGAATGTGAAACGTGGAATGTGGAATGTGGCATGTGGAATGCAGCGTGCAGCATGCGGCCGGCAAGGGCGGCTCACATGGAATAAGCGGTGTGGAGAGGGAAGATGACCTCCCCAAAGCACAGGTGGGGCTCATTCCCCCAGTGCAGGCGGCGACCGGGAATGAGAGGCGTGGCGCCACCAAAGAGAATGCGGCTCAGATTGCCGGCGAACGTGCCGACTTCACTTTACACGTAGAGAGGATGGTGGGGGCAGGGGAGGGGCGGAGGGGGATGGGGTGCGGCAGGAAGGGGAAGGAGGAGAGAGAAACTTGCTTTTGGTGAAAAAAGGACGAGTATCAAAGGTAAAGAGAAGTCACTTTTGAAGCAGAGAGGTGGTGGGGAAAGGGGGGCGGCGAGGGGAGAAGGGGGGGTTGGGGGGGGGTGTAGTTGAAAAGGAGGAGAAAGAGAGAATATAGGTATCTATGCATTTGTCCGGTCTATGCAGTGCATGTCTGTGTGGTACGCTCGGCTGCAGGGTGACAGGAGAGGTGCTCATGCCACATCACCCTGCCACATCACCCCGTGCCACATCACCAATGCCATATCACCCATGCCACATCACCCATGCCATATCACCCATGCCATATCACGCCATGCCACATCATGCCATGCCACATCACCCCATGCCACATCATCTATGCCACAACACCCATGCCACATCACGCCATGCCACATCACCCATGCCACATCACCCATGCCACATCACCCATGCCATATCACGCCATGCCACATCACGCCATGCCACGTCACCCCATGCCACAACACCCATGGCACATCACGCCATGCCACATCATCTATGCCACAACACCCATGCCACATCACGCCATGCCACATCACACATGCCACATCACACATGCCATATCACCCACCCACCTCATATCACCGCATCCCATTCCACATCACTTCGTGCCAAAATGACGGGCCCATGCCGTACCATCAATGTCGGTGCCAAACATCACTGCAGTGTGCGTGAGGGGAGAGGGAGTCAGCACCACTGGGGTGAACGATGCAGCATCTGCAGCACCACCATCAGCAGCACCACCATCAGCAGCACCACCATCAGCAGCACCACCATCAGCAGCACCACCATCAGCAGCACCACCATCAGCAGCACCACCATCAGCAGCACCACCATCAGCAGCACCAGCAGAAGAAGTGACCATGGACACAGCAACCCCATCCCTTTCCTCTGAACCTTCCCCCACTGTCCCTTCTTCCTCTCCCTCCCCTCCTCTTGCTGCCCCACTCTCCTCAACACCAGAATCAGCAGCGCCGCCATCAGCACTGGAACCACCATCATTCCTCCCTTCCCCATCACCCCCCTCCTCTCCCCCCTCCCCATCCACCCCACCGCCCAGACCATCCCCACTGGAGCGCGAAGCACGAGGGGGAGGAGGGGGAGAGGCGGAGGGGGGAGGGGAGGGCGGGGGGAGGGAGAGGGACTCATGGAGGGCGAGGAGCAGCTCCGCCAGCACGCCCACGCGCTCCCAGAAGTGCCCCAGGAACGAGTCGTGCGGTGACATCACTGCCCGGCGGTACCTGGGTAGCTGCCTCCCTGGGGAGGTCACATCTGCCCACTCTGGCGGCTGGGGTGGAGAGAGAGGGAGAAATAGCAGGAGGGAGGGGGTAGGGTGGGTGGGGAGGTGAGGGGTCAGGAGGGAGGGACATCACGGCACGCACGAGTGGAAAGTAGATTTTTGAGACGTCTCAAAAATCTACTTTCCACAGGCGAGGGGTCAGGAGGGAGGGACACCATGGTACGCACGACCATCATGGCATGGCACGCACGACCATCATCTTGCCTCCCAGCCTGGACTGCTGTGGGCTTTTTAATTCTTCCTTTCGCTATCCCTTCCCTTTTTCTTCTTTTGTTGTAGGGTAGGAGCATCAGTTTGCGATGGCAGCAAGAGAATCACCTTGTGGCCCAGCTTGCACTGCTGCTGCAGTATTTGATCGCGCTGCTCTGCTGACAGAAAGATGCCCATCTTCTCCTGGACCCTGCCATGCCATGCCATGCCATGCCATGCCATGCCATGTCATGCCATGTCATGCCAACCCCATGCACCATACCATGCCATCATGGTCCACAACGTGCCCATAACAGGAACAAGCTTAAACACATGGTGCACGTTCACGTGACGACCGCAAAGAACGGCATGCAGAGGCCAACCTGCGTACTTGTGCAAGTGCTTGAAAGACGCAGCAAGACGTGATAAAGTGCTTTGTTCCGTTTTACAAAGCATGAGGGCATGCAGAGAGAGAACCGTTTTACGAGGGCATGCACGAGGGCATGCACGAGGGCATGCAGAGAGAGAGAAGGCGCTGGTATTTTGCACGGAGGAAGCGCAGCGCGTGTTTATTAGTCATTGCATCTGCTGCTACCCACCCACCAACCTGCCGACCACTTGCAGCTTACTGGTTACATTCACTGCAGCAAAGGCCCGCATGACTGAAGTCATACATCAGAATATATGCACGTACCCCAACACACACACTTAGCGGCAACACACACTTAGCCATAACGCACGTACTTGTCTGTGGTGCCGAATCTCTTGGGCGAAAACGGCTTCGGGAGTTGCCTGGTCCCGTGGCCACACACGTCATCATTGGAGCGCAGAAGAGACAAATCCCTGCCGTCCATGCTGTACCAGTACCCACTGTAGTGCCCGTGGGTCATGGTGGCTTTACTCCCACTGCCACTACTGGCACCACCATCAGCAGTATCAGCAGCACCGTCAGCAGCAGCAGAGGCAGAGGAAGAGGGGGTGGGGAGGCCGATAGGCGACCAGAAGTGGCAGGCGCGGCGCACCACGAGGGCACAGGCGAGGGAGTCTGAATCCGCGATGAGGTGAGTTGCTGGCACGCCCTGGTTGGTAGGCAGGCAGGAGGCAGGAGTGAGCGTGAGCGTGAGCGTGAGTCCACGTTTGATTGAGGGTCCTCTTGGTAACCCACTGATTTAGCACACCCGTTTGACCCAGCTGATTGATTAGCAGAATTAGCAGAGGTGAGCAGATTGGAGGGCCTAAAGCAAACACAACATCCAACACGCAGTGCCCACCTGGAAGCCACTGACGATTCGCCACGACGGCTTCTTCCGTAACTCGGTAACCCACTTGTCGCGATCGCCCCTCACCACCCTCCGCCTCCTCCTCCGCTTCCCCCTGCTTTTCCTCCGCCTACCCTCAATCCTGCGTGTCCCCTCTCCCCCATTATCCGCCGCCTCCACTTGCTGCTCCCTTTCTGTTCCGCCTTCTCCCTCCGCTCCGCCCCCTCCTTCCGCTGAGGTACCTTCCCCTTCCGCTGCGCGGGCCTCCCCGATTCCCTCCTCCGCCACCTGCGCATCCCCGCGGGAAACAGCTGCGGAATCGACCTCGAGCGCGAGGTCGGCGGAAGGATTGGCGGAAGACGGGCGGAGCTGACTCAGCAGGGCTTGGCGGAAGGACCCTGAAAACGCGAACGCGGCAAACCCGAGAAGCGTGACTATAACGGTGCCTGCTAAAAGAACGACGCGCGCGCCGCGGGGAATCTTGTGGAGGGACGGGTGGTGCGCCTTGCGCTCGGCGTCGTCCGCGCGGAAGCTTCCGCGATGCTCCGTGGACAGGGCCGCGGGGAAGGCGCCGGCTTGCCCTCCCCGCGACGCGGACCTTCTCGCCATCATGGCGCCCCCGTCAGCCCTGTGCGTTCATGCATCCATGGATACGATATTCCTAAATGTATGAAATTAGTAACGTTGGTACGCGGCTCGAGCATTCATCCTAAGACTCAGGCCACGGCGGTGCTCAGAGTCGCACATTCATACTACGTGGCTCGCATTCGGCCACCACATTTCGCGCCGATCAGCGGATTGATCGCAGTTGACGATGGCATAATTGGCCTGCCTTCCAGTAAGTGTCTGGGCCAAAACTCGGTGCGCTCGCAACTGATGAGGTTTGGGTTTGCTATTAGCGAAAATGTACTGCTTTCACTCATGGTTGCTTGTGGGGGGTTGTTGAGGGGTGAAGGAACGAAGTGCTGGAGGTTGGAGAGCCACAGGGAGAAGTGGGTTGCGGAAGTAACAATTTATCCGACAAAATTGGGGCTTCGCGAATTCGCGACTTGGTCCCTTGAGTTTCGCCTCCCCCCAAGCACGTTGCGGGACGAAGAGTAACCGCAATGCGATTGTAAATAGTTAGCGAGTGACCTCATTCTGGCTAGACGAAGCCCTTTTGGGATCGCAGACCGAAATCAGGCACCAACTAGTTTCTGGCACGAAACACTTTTGGGATCACAGTTTAGTACTTGACGAAATGGGCGATTAAAACAATGCGGGTAACTCTATTCACGATCGATTCAAAAGTGATCAACTCGAACCGCAATGCCTGAAATTTGAAATAAAACCATTGTCGGATGTACATCATCCATTGCCCGTTCGTGGTGACCGTTCTTCAAGTAACGAGATTTTCGCCGACGTGATGGCGAATAGCACGAAACGTGACGGTTCGCTAACCGGAGATGTGCTTATAGAGGAGGTCTTCGGTCGCGGTCCGAATGCGTCGCGTACAGCTGTTTGGGTCGAGGAGACCAACGTCAGCGGCACCGGCGGCGGCGGCGGCGGGGATGGCAACAGGACCGGCAGGGTGCCTGCGGCGCTAGCTGGTCTCATGGACTCGCCATCGTCCATTCGCGTTCTCAAGTGCGCCTCGCCCCCCAGTTCACATAGAATCGCCTTGTTATAGCGTGTCGCTGCTCGTTTCGCGTGATTGTACGTTCGGAGCGCGTCTCGCTGCTCTCTCACGTCGGGTTCGATTAGACTGCTTGTGGACTGCGGCTTTCGCGGACGCCAAACGGTCTACGCTGCCCTGTCTGTGGTCTCTCTTGCGCGTTTTCCTCCCTGCCATTCCCCCGCGCCGTAACTCTTAACTTCGGAGTTAACTCAAGGGTCGCTTGCGCCTTCTCCGCCCGGCCGCTTCCCGGCGCCCAATCCTCCGCGCTCCGCCGTTTCCCCAGGTCCGCGCGCGGCAGTGGCTCGCTCGGCTCCCTCACGCGCACACTGCGCGGGGCGTTCCTGCCAGAGGTGCGCGGAGAGGGGAGGAGGAGAGTGAAGGGAAAGGTGTCTGTGCTGCCAGGAAAGAAAAAGAGGAGCAGGAGAAGCGAGTTCCTCACCAGGATAGAGTCTTCAAATCCCACACAACCTTGTGCTTTTGTCTCACCAGTCGTATTAATTACACATGCACGCATGTGTCAGTAAGGTCGTGTCTCAGGTCACGTGTGTGCGGTCAAATGCATACTAGACGCCCGTGATGGGGCAAAGGCTCTTATTTAGTGCGTTAATCCAAAGGTATCCTTTGCTTTTGAGTCGACTCAAAAGCAGGTTCTTATTTAGTGCGTTAATCCAAAGGTATCCTTTGCTTTTGAGTCGACTCAAAAGCAGGTTCTTATTTAGTGCGTTAATCCAAAGGTATCCTTTGCTTTTGAGTCGACTCAAAAGCAGGTTCTTATTTAGTGCGTTAATCCAAAGGTATCCTTTGCTTTTGAGTCGACTCAAAAGCAGGTTCTTATTTAGTGCGTTAATCCAAAGGTATCCTTTGCTTTTGAGTCGACTCAAAAGCAGGTTCTTATTTAGTGCGTTAATCCAAAGGTATCCTTTGCTTTTGAGTCGACTCAAAAGCAGGTTCTTATTTAGTGCGTTAATCCAAAGGTATCCTTTGCTTTTGAGTCGACTCAAAAGCAGGTTCTTATTTAGTGCGTTAATCCAAAGGTATCCTTTGCTTTTGAGTCGACTCAAAAGCAGGTTCTTATTTAGTGCGTTAATCCAAAGGTATCCTTTGCTTTTGAGTCGACTCAAAAGCAGGTTCTTATTTAGTGCGTTAATCTAAAGGTATCCTTTGCTTTTGAGTCGACTCAAAAGCAGGTTCTTATTTAGTGCGTTAATCCAAAGGTATCCTTTGCTTTTGAGTCGACTCAAAAGCAGGTTCTTATTTAGTGCGTTAATCCAAAGGTATCCTTTGCTTTTGAGTCGACTCAAAAGCAGGTTCTTATTTAGTGCGTTAATCCAAAGGTATCCTTTGCTTTTGAGTCGACTCAAAAGCAGGTTCTTATTTAGTGCGTTAATCCAAAGGTATCCTTTGCTTTTGAGTCGACTCAAAAGCAGGTTCTTATTTAGTGCGTTAATCCAAAGGTATCCTTTGCTTTTGAGTCGACTCAAAAGCAGGTTCTTATTTAGTGCGTTAATCCAAAGGTATCCTTTGCTTTTGAGTCGACTCAAAAGCAGGTTCTTATTTAGTGCGTTAATCTAAAGGTATCCTTTGCATTGCTTCCTTCTCCTTCCTTTTGCTGTTTTCTTTGCTGTGGCAGGGTTACCCTGAGAGTGTTACAGATGACTACTTGGCGTTTCAAACGTGGGACACCCTACAGGTGTTTGTAACTCGCCCCAAGGGTTGTTAGACGTGATGACCCACGTGGTTACCATGACCCACGTGGTCGCCATGATTCACATGATGTCACCCACCTGCCCTTTTACCTCACCAATGCCACTGACGCCTCTTCTCATTTCGTCCTTATCCATGCTTCCTGCTCATGGGCTCTCTTGTGACCGGCCATCAGTGATCAGTGCACACCTACCACCATCATACCACCCCCTCGGTCTTGTCTCATCAGTCCAGCTTCTCTCCTCCGCATCTCCCCTTCTCCGCCCCGCCCCCATTCGCCCTTCTATTGCAGGGACTCTCAACATACATACGCAGCATGCTATCCACGCAGGTACATTCACATGGGTGGCATTTTTCTTCCTCCACCTCTATTCCTCCCTTCCTTCTTTCGTCTCCGCCTCTCCGCCTCTCTGCCTCACTGCTCTCTTCTTTAGCCTCACTCCGTATCTTCCTTACCAGCGGCCTCCCAGGAGCTGCATCCGGTCATGAGATGAGATGATTTTTCAGGCGCCTCAAATCTCCACTCCCTCTTTCTTCGTCCCTGCGTCCCCCGCAGGTGCTGCTGGCAGGGCTGGGAGTGGGTCGGGCATCCGCCTCAGCCATCAGTGCCACGTTCCAGGTCAGCCACTAAGGCTTTAACTGCTCCTTGCACTTCCTCAAGTGTCCCTTTCACCCTGCAGTTTCAGTCAAATCGTGAATACCTCCTCGTTCGGCCCTCGCTGCCCTCTTTTTCCCATTCTTCTCCTGTAGATATGCTTTCCGTTCTCTCACTCTCACGTGCTGCCCCCTGCTTCTATGCACGCAGTGGTTCGTGCGTGACTTCACAGGCATGCTTGGAGGCATTCTCTTCGCCATGTACAAGGTACAGTAACGGCTCAGTGAAGGCAATTATTTGTATATTTCGTTATCGTCTGCTAAATGGAATACAATTTTCAATATTGTTTCTGTGGGAACTGTCATCTGGTCCACACTTTTGGCACTACTCACTTACTGCTTATATTCATATGCAATCCACGTTACTCTCCAATATTGTCACACGCTTTATTAACAAATCATTAGCCCTTCTTCTTGTGACTCCCGCATTGCAAGTCTTCAATCCCAAACCCCCCAAGCCCCCACTTTGCAAACCTGTGACTGCCGAAACCCTAATCCAAACCTTCTCTGTGGCTGCATGCAGGGATCGAATCTCGACAGCAATGCCAAGCAGTGGAGGCTGGCTGCTGATGTCATCAATGATGTCGGTGCGCTACTAGTTCTCTGTGTGCTCGCTCGCCCGCTCTCTTTGCTTTGCCTTCTATATTCTATTTCTGTGCTCTCCCCGTTACACACCTCTCCTTGCCTCCTGACTATGCCCAGCTTCCATTTCCCTACTTTCCAGCTTCTCATGAATCCTCATCTCAACATCTTGCTTCCTTCACTCTCTAAATCTCTTCCCCCACAGTCATCGCCTCTCTTCCCTCTCCTGCCCTCCCTCCTTCCCTCTCTCCCTCTCCCCCTCCCCCCCCCCCCCCCCCTCTTTCTCTCTCTCCCTCCCTCCCACTCCCTCCCCTCTCGTTTCCCCATTGCCAACCAGGGATGCTTCTGGATCTGCTCTCACCCCTCGTGCCCTCCGCCTTCCTTCCACTGCTCTGCCTCGGGAGCATCTCCCGAGCCATAAGTGAGTCCCTTCACTGACCGCTTGTTGGCCGTTGGCCATGCCTCTGATGTGCTTCTTAGAATTCTCAAAAGGCAACACCTTCCTACCACTGCTCTGCCTTGGGAACATCTCTCGAGCCATAAGTAAGTCCCTTCACTGACTGCTTGTTGGTCGTTGGGTATGTTTCATAGCCATTCCACCACCTCTCTGCTGTCACACTTCCTGCATTCCCCTCAGGAACAGCACCTTGTTGCTGCTGCTGTCCCGTCCCTCCTTGCTGTGCTGCAGGGTGGTACCTTTCTGAGAATTCTCAAAACCACCCTGCTTCCTGTCCGTCCTTGCTGCGTTTCGTCTTCTCAGGAGCAGCACCTTTCTGGTCAAAGCCTTCTTGTTCTTCTTTTCAATCTCGGGGTTCTCTTGTTGTCCATACGTCGCAAGCCTTTCTTGTGGATACCACATCAATGACAGCCAGGCTTTGAAATCCCTCTCTCTCATACGATCCCCCGTTACTCCACGCCCATTTCTCGCCCCTTAGATAGCCACGTGTAGAGTGGGTGTTTTTGAGACGTCTCAGAAATCCCCCTCTCTCATACGATCCCCCGTTACCCCATGCCCATTTCTCGCCCCCTAGATAGCCACGTGTAGAGAGGGTGTTTTTGAGACGTCTCAGAAATTCCCCTCTCTCATACGATCCCCCGTTACTCCACGCCCATTTCTCGCCCCCTAAATCTCCCTTGTTTTTTTCGTTTTCCTCCCCCAAATTGCTCCAGCCGGCACGGCCAGTGGGGCCACCAGAGCGGCACTTACACAACACTTTGCTAAAAGGCAGAACGCTGCAGACATCTCCGCCAAGGTACTGTATAGGCGCTCTTTTGAACCGTTGTCCGGTGCGATGTTCTTGCGAGTTTATGGGGGGGGGTAGGAGGTTGGAGGGAGGAGGGAGGCGGGAGGATGGAGTAGGGAGGAGGGAGGAGGGAGGAGGGAGGAGGGAGGATGGAAGAGCGAGCAGGGAGTAGGGAGAGGGAGTAGAGAGAAGCTGTATGTGTGCCTGTATCGTGCATGTACATCGTTCCTAGAACCACGTGTATTGAGGCGCCTAAAAAATCACCTTAATACATCGTTCATACAAGCACGCATGCGTGCAAGCACACACGCACACGTTATCTCCTCTCTCCTCCCACCCGATGTGACTTTTGAGTCGACCCAAACGTCTCTCCTCCCACCTGATCCCGCTGACACGCACACAATCAGGAGGGCAGTCAGGAGACGGCAGCAACGATGGCAGGCATGCTGGCGGGGATGGTGGTGGGGCAGCTGGTGGCGGGCAATGTGGTGCTGCTGTGGGCTGTCTTCCTCTCCCTCACTGCTTTCCACGTCTACGGTACTGTGTGGTCTGGCTTGCTGTGTGCATGCTGGCAGGGTTGGTGGCAGGGATGGTGGCAGGGTAGGGGTAGGGATGGGGGCAGGGATGGTAGCAGGGATGATGGCAGGGATGGTGGCAGGGTAGGGGTAGGGATGGGGGCAGGGATGGTGGCAGGGATGGTGGCAGGGATGGTGGCAGGGATGGTGGCAGGGATGGGGGCAGGGATGGTGGCAGGGATGGGGGCAGGGATGGTGGTGGGGATGGTGGTGGGGATGGTGGCAGGGATGGTGGTGGGGATGGTGGTGGGGATGGTGGCAGGGATGGTGGTGGGGATGGTGGTGGGGATGGTGGTGGGGATGGTGGTGGGGATGGTGGTGGGGATGGTGGTGGGGATGGTGGTGGGGATGGTGGTGGGGATGGTGGTGGGGATGGTGGTGGGGATGGTGGTGGGGATGGTGGTGGGGATGGTGGTGGGGATTGTGGTGGGGATGGTGGTGGGGATGGTGGTGGGGATGGTGGTGGGGATGGTGGTGGGGATGGTGGTGGGGATGGTGGTGGGGGTGGTGGGGTAGCTGGTGGCCGGCAATGTGGTGTGGCCTGCCATTCCATGCTGTGTGCTATGGCCATGGCGGTGCTGGCATCGCCCTGAAAGCATTTGTGATTCACGAACACGACGCGACGGTATTGCCACCGCTGCCACCTCTCCCCCCCCCCACCCAACACCTCTCCACAACACAACTAACAGAGCAGCCAACTACCTAGCGATTCAGAGCATATGCGTGACACACACAAACAATACTGCCTGCCTTCTCCCCACATCCCCCTCTCAACACCCCCCTTTTTCCCCACGCTACAAACAGAGCAGCCAACTACCGCGCGGTGAATAGCCTGTGCCTCACGAGCCTCAACAATATTTCCTGCTACTCCCCATACCCCTCACTCTCCCACAACCCCACGCTACAAACAGAGCAGCCAACTAGTGCGCTGTGAAGCACCTGCACCTGACACACACGACAACACCACTCGCTTCTCCCTTCTGTGTCTCAACCCCGCCACACTCCTCCCGGCCCCCACCCCTTTTCAACAGAGCAGCCAACTACCGCGCCGTGAAGAGCCTGCCTCACACACACAGCAATACTACCCGCCTTCTCCCCACATCCCCACACCCCTGCACACCCGCCATTTCCCCCCGCTTTGAACAGAGCAGCCAACTACCGCGCCGTGAAGAGCCTGTGCCTCACGAGCCTCAACCGAGAGAGGGTGGCACTGTTGCTGCTGGCGTACCGGGGCGAGCAGAAGCAAGGTGAGGGGTGCAGAGGGGTGCAGAGGCAAGGAAGATGGAAGGTGGGGGGTATAGAGGGGGGTGCATGGGTTGGGGATATGGAAGCTGTGGAATGTAGAGTGATTTATGGTTGAGAGGTGAGCGATGGTTTAGACAGTGCTGGGTATCTATCAATGGGGGTTCTTATTGCGCTGTGCCATAGTCTTGGACAATGTGTCTGAAAATTCCCACTCCCTCCCACTCCCCCCATTTCTTCCCACTCCCCGCCGTTCCTTCCTTCTCCCCCCCACTCCCCCCCACCCCTCTGCAGTCCTCTCCCCAACTGCTGTCTCTCTACAGGAGCGCCTCATTCCCTCTCTGCCTCAGGGCAGCCACGGCAGGGCGCACATGCTCATGGGGCATGTGCACTTGGGAGCTCGCTTGAGTGACTTGCACGGCAAGAAACTGTATGTAGACATGTGACTGTATGTATACATATACATATACATACATGTACATATACATGTAATTTATACACACGCAAACACGCAAACATAATATATACACAAGCACTCATTTAGATATGTATACATGTGTATATATAGTGTTGTTCTTTTGACCTTCCGATCATCCTTATTGTTGGCTGCTCACCTGCCTGCCCGCTTCGCGCTGGCTCATCCTTTCTTGCTTTTTGCTCATCCTCTGTCTTGCTTCTCGTCCTCACTACAGTCCCCGTTCCCCACTCCTCTCCCCATTCCCACCACCCGCTGTCTGCTTTACTTCCTGCCCTGTCGGGCCTCCCCGTCTGCTCGTCGCCCCCTCGCTAGAGACCTTGCCGTGCGGCAGGCCATCAGACGCTATGCCAAAGGTGGGCATGCGATTCGCACACTCTGAGCCTGCAGTGTTTGTGAGCGCCCTGCATCTCGTGGACGCCGCCTCTCATTCCACTCTGCCTCTTATCGCACTCTGCTTTTGAGACGTCTCAAAAATCGCACTCTGCTTCGCTGTGCCCATCTCCATGCTGCTTCAATATGAATCGATGCAGCCGTGGGCTGCACGCTCTCCTTTTGAGTCGACTCAAAAGTCAACTTTCCCACCCATTTCCCATTTCCCCATTCCTCCCCATGTCGACTTTTGAGTCGACTCAAAAGCAGCCGTGGGCTCCACGCTCTCCCTCCTCTCAACGCACATTCAACCGATGCTTTCCTGCTTTCTTGTCCGCATCTCCTTCGAGTTCCAGCCGGCTCTAATGGCCTCTGCGATTCTGAAGCTGTCTCACCCCTTCAATTCCCGACACCACACTCTGCTCTGAGCAAAGAAGTTGCTCATATTCCTCCCCACCGCCTGCCAAATGTATAAAACACCCCCCCCTATTCCTATGCTCCTCTCCGCTCTCTCCAATTTCTTGATCTCCATCCCCCCCAGGTCGTTACCTTCTGGTGTTCACACCCACAAGATTACCATCGTTACAATCACATTCTCCACCAACACCATCACCATCGTTGCCGCATGTCCACGCCATCATCCATCGAGATGCATCGAATGCGGACGTGCTTCGGGCGTACATCCACGCTCTCACAGCCCTCCAAGAGATCTGGCAAGAGGCTCGGAATGGAGTAGGCTCGGCAGGGAGTGAAGCTTCGTCGAGGCTGTCACTCGTGGAGGCGGCGGAGGCTCGGGCAGCTGCCTGGATGGCTTCAGAGTATTCGCAGTTTCTAGACAAGGTGAGTGTGATTGTGGAGCCTGCATAAACGTCTTTTTAATTATTATTATTATTATTGGGCCAATATCTGTGTCGTTATCCCCACCTTTTGCTCACCAATTTGTAAGGTTTTTGTGTTCATGATCTCTCTGTGTGGTTGTGCTCGAAGCTCTCCGCTGCCCATTGGGCAATCAACGTCGTGCAACTGTCACCAGGAGAATGGCGGGCAGACTGGCCGCAATCTTCTTTAGATTAGGCAGTCGGGTCTCGAATTATCAACAACATTGAGAAAATGATTATACCACTTAATTGGTCCATGTTTCCCCTCATAGTGTTTTCAAGTGTTCTGTGGCTGAACTGCTCATATTGAACTTTTCTGGTTACCAGTGAGTTGGCAGAAGTGTCGCTGTTGCGAGCGACAAGTGCGGGGTTTCGTGGCGACAGTGTTCAAATGTGCCAGCTGCTACCATCCAAAATCTGGGCGCCAGCACTTCCCCCCCACGACATACCCTCCGCAAAACCCGCACGAACAAGCATCCAGCCAGAGCCAAATCTATCACCCTTCCTAGTCCGAGCCGCACCTAGACGCGCCGCATGCCGCAATCTGAATCCCAACCTCCTCCAGCCAATTCGGTCGTGCACAATTTCATCAGCATTCCAGGAGCAACAAGGGTTCCGCCTCTTCAAATTCGTCACAACCGTTAGGTGGTAGTGCTAAGTTGCTAACCACAAGAGCAACCATTGACAACTACTTTAACTTCTAAATGCCATAATTTTCGGCATCCATTATCAAGACGGGATTCGTTTTCAGGTTACGCTAGTTTCTCCCCACATACCAGGCCATCGACTATACAGGATCACTGTAGGCGCGATTCTGCTGAATTAGAATTGAGTGTTTCTTCGCGAGGGAGTGAAAATGGCATCAAGAACAACGCTGCTATTCGTTCTGGTCCTACTCCTGCCTGTTTCATGTACGTTTACTGCAAGCGGCGGTTTTATTTCGCAGATATCCTGTCCGAGTGGACGAGCGCTATTCTATTCAGCTAGAACCACATACTTTTGTTGTTTTAATCGTTCTCCCTTCTGTTCTCTCTCCCACCTTTGCCTCGTCCCCTCACCGGGGCCGACGCTAAACCTTGTCATTTCTATGCTATGTCTCCGTTATGACGCAGGCTCATTCGCGCAAACGCGGAACGGCCGCGCCATCAACTGGGCGGCAGTCTTCAACACCACGCGATTGACGGCAGGGGTTCTTAGAGTACCCTACAGTAAGTCTGAAAGCTCGTTTTGAACTTACTTCAACCGATCATTCAGTCTTCCACGACATGCAATGGTTTAAAACACAAAAGTTTCAGGCGTCCGTTTCGCCCATGGCCCGAAACGGGGAGGACCGGGTGTTCTGTCTAGATGTTAAATCCACAAAAATCTACATGTCTTGAGACGTCTCAAAACGGGTTTTGAGACGTTTCAAAGAACTTAGACGTCTCAAAACGGGGTGGACGGGGTGTTATGTCTAGATGTTAAATTCATAAGAACCAACATGTTTCACCAAACCTCTCTCTCTCCACCTTCTTGGTTACAGAGGAGCTACACGCGAGCATGACCGGCAGCGACATCGTCGCCACCACGGGCGATCAGCAGGCCACCGGCTGGGCCAACCTCGTCGTGTACAAGTGAGTGTGCTTCAAGCGCCTTAGCTCTTGCTACAATCGCTGGAGACAGAAATTCCGTGAGGCCGGTTTACGAAAGCTTCTTGCTCACGTCCGTTAGCTCTTGATTCTGATAACTCTGGAAGCAAACCCTTCGGCCCCTTCTTTTCCCCGTTGAATTCTTGGTCTCCCATATGCGTATTCGCGCTCCTGATAATCTCCCCTCAGCTAGCGCGGCGACATCACCCTCAGTTACATGGTAGGCATCTCACATGTCACCATCACCGAGGTGCCTGCCTCCCTCGCTCTCTCCTTACCCGCCGTCCTCGCATCCTCTCTCTCTCCCCGCTGCTTTCCCCCTGCAGGTGGCGCGGAGACTTCAGCCTGAACTACATGGTGACCGTGTCGCAGCTCAACAATACCGAGGGGCCTGCTCCTCTCACTCTCTTCTTACCCGCCGTCCTCTCATCCTCTCTCTCTCTCCGCCCTACAGGTGGCGCGGCGACTTCAGTCTTAATTACATGGTGACCGTGTCGCAGCTCACCAACACCGAGGTTCCCGTGTCCGCCGCTATCCACGTGGCTCGGGCCCGCGCCAACGGCCCGGAAATCTTTCGCTTCGAGAAGGCTAACTGGCGCCGCTTTAACCCCAACGCGAAGCGCCTTGTAACGCGGACGACGCAGGGAAACAATTACATGCTTAGTGGAACGTACAGCGCGACGAGCGAGGACAAGATTGTATCGGGCGAGACTGTAAAGCAGCTGATTCTCGCGATCCTGAAGGACCCTAAGCAGTTCTACATCGTTGTAAAAACGCCCGCGTACCCTCTTGGCGCCGTTCGCGGGCAGCTTACAGTTAGCACCGACTAGATTACCCTCAACGTGCCCACATAAGAGGGGGATCAGTTAGCGGCCGAAGCAATGAGCAGAGCAGGAGCCTAGGCAGAAGACACCGGCAACCGCCGCACGAGCAGCAGCAGCAGCAGCAGCAGCAGCAGCAGCAGCAGCAACAGGCTGTGCCGGGGGAACTGCGAGAGAATTCAGCAGATGCGCCCCCCTGTTCAACTATTATCATGCGGGGTGCCGGGTGACTGGGCGCGTAACCCAAACCTAGGATATTGGCTGGGCGCGATGGATCTCCTCGTGAACGCGCCCTCCAAGTTATACACAGATAGTTTCTTGGATGCTTGGACCTTTCGTTGGCGATATCCGTTAGGCATACATAACGGAATGAGCGTTCTCTTTGTTATCTGCATTTAATCATCTTGCCCAAAGTATTTCCTTATTTGAACACCATATATCAGGCCCCTGTGTTTATCAGGAAGTAATATGTTCTGCCTCAATGCCACTGAGTGGCGGTGATGGCCCTATTGCAGGGGCGCTGCCCATGCTATACACCCTGCCAATTCCCTCCACAGTCCATACTATGACATTAGTGGGGGGATGCTGCCCATCTGTAACTGCAGCAGTTGCTGTCGCATGCATGCGTAATAAGACTTCCAGAGGGTTTCATGCTTTCTGTCCTGGCTCAATGCCTCTCTGGACCTCCAGTGACCCCTTTGGCAAGGTGTGTGTGGGAGCGTACCAGGCATGTACCTCTGATCTTTAAGTGTTTTAAAGCAACACAATATATAGAATGAATAAAGAAACTTACACGAGCATTTCTTCAAGTCCCAGCACTCTTCACGCTCCCCTCCCCAACCCACTTCCCCACTAACCCATTCCCCTTCCAGCCACCATCCCACAAGAATCAGCCATGACCCCTAAAAGCACTTTAGACCCCTCCATCATCCCTCACGTCCTTACTGAAATCGTCACTGCCGTCCCCTACTTGCCATTTTGACGAGCACAGAGGCTCTTAAGGCGGTGCCTCGAGCACTCTTCACACCGGCGTCTACTTAGCCTCAGGCAAGAGCTTCTTGAAGTTGGCCTTGGACGAGTACACAGTCTGGGGCTTCCAGCTGGCGGGAATGACATTCTCGAGGGTGATCTTCTCGAGGGTGTGTCCCGCGGTGAGGCGAACGCTCATCGCCTTCTTCGCGCCCACAACCTCCTTCGCCTGCGCGCCTGCGATCCCCCACACGGCCTTGCTGCCGTCGCGCGTCAGCTTCGCCCACTTCTTGCCGTCCGCGCTAAGCTCCACCTCGGTAAGCGTACCGGGGCCGGCCAGCCCCACCATCTGAATGTTGAACTTCTCCACGGTAGAGTTGCTGCGCACACGGACGCCCGATCCGACGGTCGAAAGGCAGTTGGTGCGCTTGTACTTGACGCCGACGGGGGCGGTGTCGGATCCCTGCACGATCTTGGACCATGAGACGGCGGAGAGCGTGAGCTGATTCTCCGTGATCGTCTCGCCAACGATGCGGACGGTCACGATCGCCTTGCCGCTGCGGCAGCGCTTCGTGTCGTTAGTGCACTCCACCTTGTAGCACGCGCCGCACCGCTTGCCAAAGAGCGCGGGAGGAAGCTTCGCCGTGAGCCCCTTGGCGAAGTAGGGGTTCGCGTTGTAGTTGCCGTAGTAGGCGCATGTGGAGTTCTTCCCTTCGCCCGAGCCCTTGCTCTGCCTCGCCGTCGCCATTCCGACGGCGCTATTACCGATTTTAGTAGCATTTCCAGACTTAGTGGCGTTAGCAGGCGCGGCCGACTTAGCAGAAGCAGGCGCTTTAGCAGGCGCTGTCGCGTTGGCGGAACCAGCAGCGGCAGAGGCGCGGGCAAGGGCGGAAAGGAGCATCGCGGAAGCGATGACGAGGACAAGAAAAATGGACTTAGCGGGTGAGTGGCCGAAGAAAGTCATTTTTGCTTCTAGGTGGAGACGTTCAAGCTGGTGCTACTATAAGCAGCTCTGAGTAAGGATGGTAAAGATGTTTGGATTTCGTGATGAGATGAGCGGCGGTGGCTGCTCCTTATATACTCTACTTCGAATTGCTTGGAGGAAAGGCACCGTGAGTCGCGCAGGTGACTC